CCCCAGAAAGTAAGGTAGGCCTGTGTGCTGCTCTCCTTCCATGTCTAGCAGGCATGTTGGTAATCGGCCTGTCTCACCTGCTCTCAATATGTGCTGTTTCCAGTTTCTTTGCAAAAATACCCAAGGACTTCAGCCATAGGCGTCCTATAAATTCCCAGATGAGTGGGTTTCATAATCTCCCTGGGACCAGGCTGAGGCTCCGCAGGAGGCTGAAGCTGGGGTGGCCCGCTGGAGGCCGTGCTGAGGGTGCAAACAATGTAACCCGCCCTAAGCAAGCCCAGCTTCAAAACTCCTGATGGCAAAAGGGAGAAGTGAGGGATCGATTTCTTACTTCGCAGGAAGGTTCCACCCCGGGAATCCTTGGCCTAGAGAAAGTTGCTAGCCCACCAAGGCGATTCCAGCGACAGAAACCTGCGCTAGCTGCAGTGTGTCAGGGAATGCTCTGTCAGTGGCCAGGAAACTTTGTTTCCACGGCGCCCCGTGGGTCCCTAGTGTCTAGAAGCCCAGTCACCCACCCCAGTGCGGCTGTCGGAGAAGTGAGGTGAAGGGTCGTAAACATTCTTCAAAAACAACAGGAAAGCCCCATTCCGAGGCTGCGCTGAGGTTTAAGACCGTGGGGATTTTGAGCTGAGCTCCGCGTCCACTGGAGCCCCGGGGCGCCTGCTGTGCCGTCGGGGCCGCCGTGAGACGCAGCGCTGGGGCCTGCCCGGGCTCTAGGGCCTGCTCCAGGGCTAGGGCCTGCTCGGGCTCTAGGGCCTGCTCCAGGGCTAGGGCCTGCTCGGGCTCTAGGGCCTGCTCCAGGGCTAGGGCCTGCCCCGGCTCTAGGGCCTGCCCCGGGCCTCCTGCGGCCTCGCGCCCGCCGAGGGCAGAGGCCCCCCGAAAAGAGCAGGGACGCGAGTCGGCCCGAGGGCGCGCCCGGAGCCCGCGGCCAGCTCTGTGAAAACGGCCCTTCCTCCACGCCTGAGAGGAAAGGCTTTCACAGTGTGGCTCCTTCCTAATGTTCGTGTTCCACTGCGGAAACACGTCTGCGGAGCTTATTCGAAACACCCTCCCAGCCCATTCCTGTTCTCTCCCTCCTTCAGGCCAAACTTGCATTCCAGAAGGACCTGATGAAGCCTCTGGGCCCGGCCTTCCTGTCCTCGCCGCTGGCGGCCGCGGCCGCCGTGTCCTC